CACACACACACACACAAAGCATACGACTAAATGATTAAAACACAACAATATGCTGCAAATCAACATAAATATAAGTGATAGACCGATTAGGAAATAGTCATTAAAGAGGAATTTTTAATTCAACAACAAAACAGAGAACAAAAAACCCAATATACATTTGGATTAAATTATATTTGTAATAATCTAAGCTCAAACTATGATGTTTGTTCAGCTGATTTTCAGCTGATGTTCACCCTGATTAGTCAATGTCAATTTATTTATGAGTGTGGCTGAGTGTTTAGGGGAGTCATCCTCCAATGCAAGAGCTGGCAGTTCAATTCCTTCACTATTCAGTGTTGGTTTGTCTCTGGGCAAGTTACTGAGCACACCCACTGCCTCTGATGTGTGTTCCATCAGTGTATGAATGTTCAAGTTCAAGTTTATTTATACAGCGCCAAGTCACAACATACGTTGTCTCAGGGCACTGTACATAAATAGAATAATATAAAGAAGAAACCAGCAGATTGTGTTGAATCACTTCATCACAGTCTCCCATCCAGAGCAAACGGTGGAGAGGAAAAACTCCCTGCTAATCAGGAAGAAACCTCCAGCAGAACCAGGCTCAGGACAGACGGCCATCTGCCTCGACCGGCTGGTTGGAGGACAGGGAAGAGACAGACAAACACAGAAGAACTGGCCCGGGACTGGTCCAGGAATGTGATTTAAGCACTGATTAGTCTCTATAGAATGATCTGTCTGGATTGGCTTTGTAGAGAAATATAGTGCTGTGTGAATGGACAAATGAGGGCACAGATTGTGTTGTAATGCTCTTTGAGTGTCCTGGTTGGCTAGAAAAGAGCTATATAAGTACAGACCATTTGTATAGCACATAAAAACAAAAGCTTTAGTCAAATTAAAATGTAAAACAATAAGAACAAAGAAATACAAGATATGTTGTCACTAAGGACACATGAGAAAGTTAAAAACAAATACAAAAACACAACAATGAAACTGGACTGTAAATATGAAAAAATACATACATTTTAAAACTGTATAAACGAGCAGGAAGATCTTGA